TGGTATGGTGGCTACTAGGAGCTGGAGGGAGCAGGGAACAGAGGGTGACCAGCCAACAGGCATTAAGGGTCAGTTAAGCAAGAGGAGACATCAGCCGCACAACGCTGTACCTACAGTCAACAACAACGTGTTGCACACTTACATATTCGTTAAGAAGGCAGATTTCATGTTAAGTGTTCTTATCACAATAAAATAAAAAATTTTAAGAAAGAATGAGAACTCAAAATCCTTGGTTCTCAACGAGAAAGAAACTGACAAAACTGAAGCAGAAAATGCAGAGAGGACATTAGTAGGGTAAGGAAAACAGTGAGGATGAACTGAGGCAGTTAAAAAGACCAACACCTTGTGGGAAATGAGAAAGAATGAGATACATGGAGGCAGAAAAAGAGGAGAATGGGATGAACAGAGCCAGAGAAACAGAACAGTTGAGAGAACTGAATCCAGCATTATCTAGAAAAGAAAAACAATGTCCCATCAGTAATGAATTAATAAGTTGTAGCATTGGTGGAGATGCTGTTGAAGGGACTCCTTCTGTCTGGGATGGGAGGTTGACCAGATGGCCAAGCTCTGAGACAGCTGCTAATATTAACATTATTATAAATTATATTAAAATATTACTAATATATTATTAGACTGTATGTTCTATAGGGGCAGAGATTAGACTGTTTTGTTTTGCTGGATTTTGTTTACTGTTATAATCCCAATGTCTAGAAGAACGCTAGGCACAGAGAAGGCATTTATATTGACTGAGTAACGTTAATAACACAAACGACTATCTATTATTGAGCATTTCTTCTATGTAAGGTGCTCTTAGCTCCATAAGAGTCTATACTGATCACATTTTTTAGATGAAGAAACTGAAACTCAGAGATAAAGCAACTTTCCCGAGACCATACCAGTTATAAGAGGCAAAGCAAGTTTGGGAAATTAAGTTTCTCTTACTTCAAAGACTTGTGAAGACTCTGTCTTATTAATGAGGGGTCTTGGTGAGAGGCCAGCATCTCTCCTCCACCTTGAGGACTGCAGACCCTTTAATCAATACACTAAGTCCACTGGCCAGGCCCTTCTTTACCTTCCAGAGCAGCTGCTGGGTCCGTGAGCCCCACCTCTCAGCCTTGGTGCCAATCCATCTCAGAATGCAATCAGGGTGCCTCTCTTGTGAGCACTTCCCCTTGGTCTGTCATCAGGTGAGCGACTGATCACCCCCACTGGTCCTGGAGAGGCAGTCAGGATAGCAGGATGACTGTACGGTGCCAATCCAGGAATATGCCAAGATGAAGCCAGCAACTTCCCACTAACAGGCCTGGAAGTGGGAGTCCCCAGACAGCCACAGTGGCAGAAGGGTATGACTTCTAAGGAGACTCTTTCAGAATCAACTAGTAAATGCTTCATGCCTACTATTAGGTTCATTTCATTCACAGACCCTACTTTCTTTAGCCTAAAAACCCACCTGGTGATGGGGCAGCGTGATCATCCCCAATTTACGGGTCTTGCCCAACCTGGCTCATGCAAAGTCAGAGACCGAAGGCAGAGTCCAGAGATGAACTTCAGGTCCAGCCCATTTTCTACAATACTGGAATCCTTTTCAGCCATGCAGCTTAAGATACAGAAAGGAGATCAGCCTTGCTGAGCTCAGAGTGTAGTCTCCGACCTTTTCCCTTACCCCTTGTCCATCTTAGAACTTCTGAGAGCTATTCTCATCACTAACCTTCCACGACGCTGACCACTTATTACTGTTGTGAAGACAGGAATACACACCATGCAGAACAAAGTCTTGGTGAACCTGAGAGTATTCTTTCACTCATCCATTCAGCAAATGCTTACTGGGTATCCACCAGGAGCCCAGTAAGCCTGCTGGGGCCTGAGGTTGCTAAGGAACAATGCAGTTCCTTCTCGAAGGAGCTCTCAGTCCATGGGGGGAGATGAGCAAGCAGATCAGTCCAGTGCAGAATCCTCTGCTTGAGGATGCTGCCAAGGATGGGCCATTTTAACCAGCTGGAGGGTCAGGGAGAAACTTCCCAGAGGAGGTGATCCAAGAACTCAGCCAGGATGAAAGCAAGTAGCCAGGAGAAAGCAAGGGATGGGCATTTAAGACAAGGGAAGCAGGGGCGGTGGGGTGGGGGTGGGGGGTCTTCGATGTCCACATTTGCTATATTTTGCCTTTAGGGAAGAAGCAAGAAATCACATCTCATGAGTCTGGTTCATTTTGGGGTTTGTTTGTTTTTTTAAAGCATGCACTAACCTGTGAGACCACTATCAGCCCAATTTCCTGGCTCTCTTGAGCCATTAACCACAGCCCAGAATAAGATAATGGCTGCTTTAAAGAATGCATTTCAGTATCTTGCAAAATCCTGAATCATCAATGAAAGGTTCAGTTTTGTTCACTTGACTGGGCTTGCTCCTAGCAGGAGGAAGGATGTACAGTGCCTCCACTAATGAGCTGAAATTCAAGTGTCAGAAGCCTAAACCCAATCCGACAGGGTTTTCCTGTGGAATGCCCGATTAATCAGAATCCCAACCCTGGCACAACACAGGCCACATTCTGTCTCCCCAACACTGCGGTTCCCTGGGTTTTGAGCAGCCCCTGCTTTGATTCCAGATCCATTTCCAGCCATTTGCCAACTGTGAGCTAGGAAGGGGAGGCAGAGAAATGACAGAGTCCTCTGTTACCAAGGGGGCAAGGAGCACCCAGGGATGCCTCGTGAAATACCCAGAGTCCCAAAACTGTTGGCAGAGGGTCATAACTGGGATCCCAGCTTAGAAACAAGAGATGACCCCCAGCATTCAAATGTGAGCTCCAGAAACTCTACCACATGACCCTGGACAAGTGGTTCTCTCTGTTTTGGTTTCCATATTCTCAACCATCAAATACAGGTAACAATTCCCACGTCATGAAACTGCAGCAAGAATTAAATGAAATAAATAATTTGCATGTGCAAAAGTACCTCGCTAGGTATGCAATTCTTCTTTCTAACATAATGTAAAATTTTCCTAGATCCTCTCTGGGAAACTGAGGTTACACACAGGCATTCCCAAACCTGCTTCCAAGTGATGGAATAATTGTAGAGAAGGACAAAATCGGGCCTTAGCTATCCCCTTCCCAGAATGTCCCAGATGGGGTAAGAGTGCTGGCTGGGAAAGCTGAAGGAAGAGGGAGCCCACAAACTCCAGTGGGACCCCAGGTTCAGAAGTCAGCCAATATGCACAGGACACCACTGATGTCAAAAGGATGTGTGAGGCCGTGTATGCTTGTGTGCACTCAAGTAATCTGTATGACTTATTATCGCATATTCCAGTATTACCATCAGTTCAATTTGACTAAATACAGCACTCGAGACAGAGAAGAATATATTTTAATCCCTTTTTATCAACTGATAAAAGCAAACAGAAGAGCAATTGCTAACCCTTCTCTCCAGCCACTAACACCTGCAAATACACGCAGACCTGGATGCCAAAGGATAGATTCCCCCGCCCCTCCCCCAAAAAAACAACAACCCATATTCCTGGTTGGATGCCTTTGGGGCCTCAGTTTCAAGCAGGCACCGTTGCAAGGCTTCAGGAACCTCTCAGAGGAAACCTGTTGCCAAGCCTGAGGTCCTGTGCAGAGGCCCCCACCTGGTGGCCAAATCTGGAACTGCCTTTCCAGCCAAGGAAGATTGGCAGGTAGTGTTTAACTCCAAGGCTCCCTTTCCACCCATTAGTCGTCGGTCAATTGGAGAAGGACAGGGAGGAATATTTACTGCTAAAAGCACAGGCAGAAGGGTCAAGGTCTTGGTCATTTCCCCGCCAAACCCCTGGTAATGGTACAGCTTCCTAAGGAGCAGGCATCAGAATGACTAAGCCACAGACAGGAAGCAAGGGGTACCTGGAAGTGCCCTGCCAGCCCGGCGGGGGGTGGGGCGGGCGGGGGGGGGTGCATGTTGACAACCCTGGCTTCCCCTCCTGGGAAAGAAGCCATCACTATCATCCTCCCCTCCCCAAATACAGCAGGATTTTCTATCCAGAGCATTGGGCGCAAAAGAAGTTCCATCTTCCTGCCCACCACGCATTTACATCCTGGCCAGAAACAGACTCTTTCCAGGGGAGGGGGGCCTGGCGGCAAAGCTTCAGCCCAGGCCCCTTCACTCTCCCTCTGCCCTGGCCCGGCCGCAGCAAGATGCCGGGAAGGAGCTGAGGTGGAGGGGATGATAAGACCAAATTATGGAGATGTTTCAGCCAAAATGATCCCTGGCCCTCATCTACGGGCAAGGTGAAGCCCCCACCCCTCATTCCAGGCTTACAGCCGGAGAATCATAGTCTTTCCCCTCATCCCTCTCTCTCATTAACTTCCCTAAAGAGAACCCCAAAAGATGCATTTTGGCCAGCCCCAGTCCCCAAATGGAGCAAACCACGTTCCTTTCCACACCAGAATGGAACCCAAAAAAGGGTAGCATAAGCAAGCAATCGATAGCCGCGCTCACACACACACACACACACACACACACACACCCCACTGTGGGCAGTGTACCACTCCCATCCCCAACTGCAGGATGTATCACCTAAACTCAGCAGCGATCCCAACTAGAAGGGACCCACCCCAAGCAGAAATACAGCGCGCATGGGAGGATCCGCTTTATCCCGTTCAACCTCCTCGTTAATTAGAAAAACCACCGAATTCTTTTAAGCTTGGCTACCAACATCCGGAGATGCTGCCACAAACGCGCACCCGCGCTCGCACACAGAAGTGCCAATTCGATCTCCAAATCAGCTGAGGAGCCACGCTTGGATTTTTTTTAAGCCCTGGGGTTCAACTCCCAGGTGTCCAACACCCTGAGAGTGGTCCACAGACACACAGGCATACACGGCAGAGGGGAGGCTGCTCTCCAATTCGGTGGACGGGCGCCCCTGGACTAGGAAGCCCCAGAGCCATCCTCAGCTCCAGCCCGCACCCCGAACACCCCCCCCCCCGCCCCACCTCACGCACCGCCTCCGAGGGGCTCCCGGAGAGGCCCGGTACTCACACGAGCGCGTGGTAGAGCAGCGCCCAGCCCCGCGGTCTCTCGAGGGCGTCGTAGATCAAAGTTTGGATGCGTCTGTACTTGGCGTTGTTCCTCTTGACCGGGCGGCTCAGGGGCGTCTTGGCCAGGAGCCCGATGCCCTGCGGGGTCCTCCGCTGCCCCTCGTCGCGGCCGCCGCCCTCCAGCAGCAGGGTCCCGTCTTTGTCAGCTCCGGCTCCCAGCGCCAAGGTGACTTGCTCCACGTCGCCCGGCGCTAGCCCCACTTTCCGCTCCTCGTCGCCGGCCGCCGCCGCGTCCCCTCCGGCAGGGTTAGCGGCCCCGCCGCCTCCGCCGCCCCCGTCGCCGCCGCCGCCAGCCGCCCCCGCCGGCCTGCGAGCCTTGAGCCCCATCTGCCTCGCCCCCGCCGGCCGCTTCGCCTTCTCCGCTGCTGCTCGGGGAAGAAGGGGCGCTCGGGCTGCGTGGAAGAGGCGGCGGCGGCGGCTGCAAGCCCGGGAACTCCAATGCCATGATCCGCGCGCCCCTCCCCACCCGCCCCCCCTCCCAAAAGCAGGCTAAGGCGGGGCCCCGGGGGGCAGGGGGAAAGGGTCACATCCCGCGCGGTTCCGCCGCGGGACCCCGTCGCCCCGCGGCCCGGGATCGCCCGTGCGCGCAGCTGCGGCCGCGGTGCGGGACTCCCCGCGCTCCCGTGGGCGTTGGGGCTTTCCCCGAGCTGGGCGTGGGGCGAAAAGACGAAAAAAGGAGGAGGTACTGGGTGGGTAGGAGGGGGTCTTGGTCTTTTTTTTCCCATTCTTGCATCTTCAGATTTTTCTGGTCACCTCCCAACCCGGCTTCTTGGCTTGGGAAGTAAAATCCAAGTTGCTGGGTTGGCCAAGGCGGAGCGCACCGGGGACCCATCGCTCCTGGGGGCAGCGATACTCGTAGCTCTCCATTCGTGGTTCGTTCCGCCCTCACGCCCCTGGCCCTTGAGTGGCACCTCCACCAGCTAGCGTGAGCAGAGGGCGAAGAAATAGGACACGGGGAATCGGCTTCGCTCCTCAGTTGTGCTCTTGGCAGGTCCTTCCCCCTCTTGTCTGAGTTTCTGCTCATTCATTCAGTGACTAAACCCACGTGAGGTCCTTGTGCTCAGAGAGCTCGCCTTCTCGAAAGGTGGAAAACAATAACGGCGAAACACACGGGAACAGCATAATTTCCTCTGCTGGTAATTCAAGGAGGAAAGAAAATAGGCATGCAGGGCTAGAAGCGGGGAACTTCTTTAAATTGTCTGCCTCTGGGAGGCCTCACCGTGGAGGTGATGTTTTGGAGGCGAGATGAAATAGCAAGCTGGAGCAACTATGTTAATGTCCAGAAGCGCCTTCCAGGCAGCAGAACAGTAAGTGCAAAGGTGAAGGGCGGCTTGAACTTCTTGAGCTCCAGGGAGAGAAGAGGAAGGTGAGGCCTCAATTGGGGAGGGGTGGGGGGCAGACTAGATCTTGTTAATTCTCTAGGGTCTTGCCCTTTGAACCTGACTCCCTCCCTCCCTTCCACCATGCCCACCGCCGTTAAGGAAACCCGTCATTCCTGCTGTCCTGCTATCTTGTGCTGCGTGCTAAGCCAGTTCAGTCGTGTCCGACTCTGTGACCCCATGGACTGTAGCCCACCAGGCTCCTCTGTCCATGGGGATTCTCGAGGCAAGAATACTGGAGTGGGTTGCCGTGCCCTCCTCCAGGGGATCTTCCTGACCCAGGGATCCAACCAGTGTCTCCTGAGTCTCCTGCATTGGCAGGCGAGTTCTTTACCACTAGCGCCCCCTGGGAATTACCTGGAGCCTCCTTTGCTTTTCACTCTTTCCCTCCGGTAAGCAGGCCTGGGTGGAGGGGAGGGGCTGTGAGCAAGGTCAAGCCTAGGATCTACCCCTAGGGTATAGAATGGAGTGATCAGATGTAAGGGTAACCCTATATGCAAGACAGAAAAAGAGACACAGATGTATAGAACAGACTTTTGGACTCTATGGGAGAAGCCGAGGGTGGTATGATCTGAGAGAACAGCATCAGAACATGTATATTATCAAGTGTGAAACAGCTCACCAGCCCAGGTTGGATGCATGAGACAAGTGCTCGCTCGGGACTGGTGCACTGGGAAGACCCAGAGGGATGGGATGGGGAGGGAGGTGGGAGGGGGGTTCAGGATGGGGAACACATGTAAATCCATGGTTGATTCATGTCAATGTATGGCAAAAACCACTACAATATTGTAAAGCAATTAGCCTCCAACTAATAAAAATAATTGGTGAAAAAATAAATAAATAATGAAAATTTTAAAAATAACAACAAACAAACAAAAAAGAATGGAGTGATCAGAAGGCCTGCAGGTGGATTGTGGCTCTGGATTCGCTTGGAGCAAAGGAGAGTGAAAGAGAGAGAAGGGCAGGAGCCTGGAGGAGAGAGAAAATGGGGAAAAGGAGAAAGGATGAGGGAAGGGTGAAGGGATGGGGGAGGAGAGAAGAGTTGGGGGAGGGGCAGCAAGAAAATGGAGCGGACGTGTGGGGTGAGGAAGGGGCAGGGGGGACCTGTATGAATGACTGTCAGAGGGAAGAGCCCCAGAATTCTTAGAGCCAAGAAGGCTGGAGTTTCAAGAAGGGAGTTTAGAAAAAGGGGAGTTTAACTATACAGCAAGGCTGAAGTCCTTAAAATGGTGTTGTACCAGCACAAAAATAAACTGCTTGGTGCAACAGAATAGTTTGTCCAGAAAGTGTCTCTCATATGAGAATTTTATATAAAATAAGTCATGAAAACCCAGTGAAGAAAAACTGTACCTTGGTCAGTGGGCTATGGGGTGAGCTTTGTAAGGACTGCATGAACTGGTAGATGGAAACAGGACTCCATGAGTGGCAAAGCCCCCATGAAAGTTTATGAATAGATGGATGCTCAACAATGAGTTGGAGCGTGTAAATAACAGGTCAGTGCAAACCCTGGGAAGGAGGAGAAGTATGGAGAAAGGGAATCGCCTCTGGTGAGAAAAGTCCCAAACAGAAGGGGGAACACCTGAACTGGGCTCCCTGACATCTGTTACCCTCCACCCCCCGAATACCAACACATGCCTGTACTGTCTGCCCCAGCCCAATCCCAGCTACCTAGAAAAATTCTGCCCTCTGTATTTAAGCACCTTTTATAAAGTTACCCTTCTCTCCCAATCGCTTTCTGTTTTACTTTCTCATTACATTTATCACTGCCTGAAATGGTCATATTTGCCTTTTGTTTACTATTCTGTCTCTAAACAAATGCAAGTGGTCAGCATCCTAGAAGTATGCCTGTTATTTATAATAGTAACCTCTCAATACTTATTGCCAGTGTGAGATAATGATGAATAAATGAATGCAGAATGAAAAGACCCCAGAACAATGGCTGGCACCTAATGAAGCATTCACTGTATGTCTGAGACCCTGATGCTGGGAAAAATTGAGGGCAGGAGAAGAAGGTGATAACAAAAGATGAGATGGTTGGATGGCATCACCGACTCAATGGATATGGGTTTGGGTGGACTCTGGGAGTTGGTGATGGACAGGGAGGCCTGGCTTGCTGTGGTTCAAGGGGTCGCAAAGAGTCGGACACGACTGAGCGACTGAACTGAACTGAACTGTATGTCCGGGTCTGAGATTTTTGTTTTTGTCTTTTACAATTATGGAAGTCTTTAATCTTAGAAAATGTTAGTTCTCTTGCAACTTTAGTAACATAGTGACAAAAAAAATTTGTCAACACTTAAAAAGCCTCCCTAGATAAGCATAAAAAGGCAGTCAAGAACCACATAGGAAAAAGATGTCAGAATTCATTACTGTACAATTAATCAAAAGCTCAGATTTCCAAAATGACAGCTTGAACCTCAGGCACTTGAAAAGACTCCTATTTTGATAAGAGCTGCAGACTGTCAAATATTAATGCTTTAAGATCAAGCCCAAGGACTACATTCCTGCTGCCCCAAAAGGGTGAAGTAAACTCAATATTAAATGCATAATTTTGATCCAATTAAATCTAATGATAGGGAAATTGCAAGGGAGTTTGGAAATTGATTCGCTTCAACGGTTTTCTAATTCAATGAAGAGTGTTGTTCTGATAGGGAGTTTGGAAATATCACAAAAAATCTGGGTGCGATCTGAGTGCTATTTGGGAAAGTGTGTAATCTCAACCCTCAATAGCACAGATTCCAACTAATGGGAATCAAACAAAGCATCCTACATCCCACTGGAAGCGATTGTTTTTGAACCCTGAAGTCCCAAGAGCCTCAGGTATCAACCGGATGCTGGTAGTTCAGTGATAGAGTATCCTCAAGGGTTGGACAGGGTCCGTGGTGCAAGTAGGGCACCACCTCCTGGCTTTGCATGATTTGTTACCTTGAAAACCCAGTCACTTCCTGGTTCTTACATTTTCCTCTCTGTATCCCCACTCCATTACTTTGCTTCTGTTTTCACCTCTCCTGGTCTTCATGTCACTGTTCTGTACAGCCAGTGAATTCTTTCCCCTTTGCAGACAGGGAGCCTTGCTGAAAATAAACAATGAAAGAGAGGGAGAGAGATTAAGAGACCTTCTCTGAACCTCAATTTCTGCCTCTGTAAATCCTTCTTCCCAGGGTTAGGCATGTAGTAACAAAATGAACAGAAGTGTGCTTGCAGGAGATGACAGCACTTCCTGTGATGGCTCCCATCGCGGTGGTGGTGGTTTATCGCTAAGTTGTGTGTGACTCTTGCGACCGCATGGATTGTAACCTGCCAGGCTCCTCTGTCCATGGGATTTCCCAGGCAAGGTTTGTCATTTCCTTCTCCAGGGAATCTGCCTGACCCAGGGATTGAACCCTGATCTCCTGCATTGTAGGCAATCTTCTGCACTGCAGGCAGATTGTTTTTACTGACTGAGCCACCAGGGGAGCCTGTGTCTGTGATCCAAGGAGCAGGGCAGGATCTCAGGGTCACAGGAGCAGGCGAGTGGGAGCCCCTGCCTCCCTTCTCACCCAGCTCCCAAAACACCTGTGTTTTAGACCATGTTAGAATTTACTTTATTTTTATTACTTTCATTTATATTATTACTTTTCTTTATTGCACAAGAAGTACATATAGTTGTACATAAGTTATTAAATATAGGTCAACAAAAAGGCAATGATAATAATTTGTCATCTTGTACCCGAAAGTAGCCTGTGTTAATATTCTGGCGGTGACTAACACTACTGCAGTGAAGACCAATGCTCAGCCCCTAACAGCCCCCAATAGGGCACCCTCCCCCTCCCCTTTCCCCCCTCCCCCAGCCAGCCACCTGATGGCAGGTCGATTGCACTGGACCTTCTAATTGTGGGTGGGATGATGTAACCTCACTGGAACAGACACATCTCCTGGATACGGAATTGCCTCCCATACCGATTATGTTTCTGTCGACATTACCTTCCGTG